CCAAGGCAGCACCGCTCTCCCAGCCATCCGGCCCACCCTACAATTACACTAATGACAAAAGCTTGGAAGAGGGGAAGAGCAGCTCTTTCCCAGAAGCCGAGTATCTCCTGCCGGCCGAGGACCAGAAGAGGCTGGCAGCGATCGCCGTGGGCCTCCTCTCCTCCCTGAATGCGACAGGAACAACCACAGCTCACTACCCTGCTACCAACGGGCTCAATGCAACCCCCTCTGCAGCACCAGGAGCTCATTTCGCAGCACTCCCACTGTCGCCTTGCAGCCTTCCTCCTCCTCCTCCTCCTCCTCCTGCCACTGGATGGGGCCGGCAGGGGGGAGCATTCCTTGCTAACTAGTGCTTGTTTTCTATGTAACTTTAATTGCAGGGCACAAGGAGCAAACCACCTACCACCGGCAGCAAGTGGAGTTTTGCACAGAAATTCCTCGGCATCGGGCTGATATGTCCCTGCCTACGTGCGCATGAAATCCAGCGTTATTTATGGAAGGTAAAGAGTTACAAAGGAGAAGATTACAGGCTGAGTATACCTGGAGTAACACAGTGACTTTGATTACAATTACTGACACTGCTGGGTGAGGTGTAATTAATATCGCAGAGTAATTACATGGTTACTTCATCTGTTTAAAAATATATAAATAGCCTCTGCTGAGTTTTCATTGAAAGCAGCAAACACCAGCCCCAAAGCCGGAGCCCGGCAGCAGCAGGCAGGGCTCCACGCAAGGACTCGGCAGAGCCAAAACAGGACCCCGGGACAGAACTGGGGAGGAAAAAGAGGGAAATGGTGAAAGCAGAACAGAAAATGGCTGGTTCCAGAAGTAGCCAGGTGATGCCCAAGGGTACCTCAGGAAGCTGAACGCCAGCAAAAAGGAAAAATAAAGCATGAGGGGCTGCACTTCGGCAGGCACAGGCGGTGGCTAATGCCAAGCACCGCGCCATTGCCGAGACGGGGCCGGGCAGTGCTGCCGATCCCCACCAAACCCAGCAGAAGCATTACGAAGGCGACGGGCTTTGTTTTAAACAGATGAAGCGCCTGCCCCCGCTACTGCACCACTTGCCAGCGAGCCCCCACTTGACCCCGGCAGATTCAGCGCTGCTGGCTGGGCTCGAGCGTGGACGTTCCTGGTGAGAGCGGAGGCAGTCGTAGCTGATGGGGTTTTTCATCCGGCAGTTCTGAGGCCGCCGCAAAGAGCCCAGTGGCTTCCCAAAATGCTAGGGGGGGGCTCCTGGGCGGGCAGCGATGTGAGCACCTGGAGACTGCCCCAGTGCCTGGGCTGGCCTGCCAGCCCCGTCATCAGCCCATCGCCGCATCGGCTGGGGGCGGCCCCGCGCGGCGCCCACGCTTTAGGCACTGCTTTCCTGGCTCCGGCGCATGTCTCCAGGCAGAATACGACACCGAGGACCAGAAAGAAGAAGCGTCCCTTGTTCTGCCTAGGCAGAAAACCCTCCCGGCTCTGGAGAACCCCCCCAGGCAGGTTATGGCCAGACACTGTCACCCACCCGGCAATGCAAGGCAGGGGTTCGTGTGGGTCCCAGTAAGGAGACGGGATGGAGCGTGGGCAGCATAGGTCAGAGCCTGTGCAAGAAACCACCACGTTGGCATCTGCCCGGTGGGGCTTTGCGATGGTGAGGAGGGCAGGGGGCAAGAGGAACGCCCCAGACCCTGGCGGGGTCCACGCAGGGGAGGAAAACTCTCCCTCTGGTGTTTCCGTTGCTTCAGTGCTTCTGACTTGTTGTTTTGTTTTGTTTTCAAATGTGAAGACCTGAGATTGAGCGTGGGTTTTTCCAGACGCCACCGGACGCCGCGGCGCAGGCTCGCCAGAGGCGTAGCCTCCCATCCCCTTCCTTCACCACGTGTAGAGGCACCTGAACGGGGATGCGATTCCCAATACCAAGGCGTTGGCAAAGCTCCGAGCATCGCTCGGCACTGCTGGTCCTACCGGCTCCGGCCGAAGGGTCCTGCGGTGGTTCGAGGACCAGAAAGTCCATGGAGACCTCGGGACCTGCGCGGAAACGCTTCCCCTGTCCGTGGAGGGGGCTGAGGACTGCGTTTTAGCAGCTGCTTGAGCTTGTGTAAGGGGTGGGGAAGGAGGTGGAGCTGACCCCGATGGGGCTCTCGGAGAGAGGAGTTTGGGGGGTGCCCACCGGCACGCCGACCCCCCGTGCCTCCAGGACAGCGGCGAGCAGGCGCTGCTGCTGCTGGCGCAGCATGTCGGCCATCAGCAGGGGCAGGGAGTTGAAGCTGGCGCTGAGCTGCTCCAGCTTGGACTCCAGGCTGCCGATCTGCTTCTCCAGGTCCTCGCTGCGGTCGTTGAGCTCGGTGATGAGGTCGTACATCACGTTCTGCATCTATGGGGAGGGGACAGTGGAGGGATTAGTGCCATGGCTGGAGGGGCTAGCACCACCGCCGCTGGCAGCGCCCAGCCCTTTAACCCCTTCCTGCGAGCAAAGCCCCAAGAGCTGCCCCATGTCAGCCCGCTCTGGGAGCTCGCAGGGCACCGTGACCGCAGCTTGGCTCGCCCCAGGACACTAAAATGAGGAAACCCTGCCCCCGTGCAGGCAGAGGGGAAAGGGGCAGCCGGCCCCATGCTGCCAAGCAGTGGTACCCCCCGGCTGGGGCTGCATAAGGGCGTGCAGGGAGCAAAGACCTTTCCTGGAAGCAGAGTGACCCCCCACCAGTCCCTGGCTTGTGTCTGTGTTTCTCCTCCTGCCTTGCAAGGGCAGCCATCCCACGGCAGCTATTTCCAGCTGACATCTACCGAGCCGAAGCATTTTGCGGTCAGTCAGGTCCGCTTTAGTTTTCCCAAGTGAAGAGAAACACTCGGGCAGCCTGGCCGAGCCAAGAGGTCGCTGCAGGGACTTGCCTTTGAGAGGTCGACCAGGGTGTTGGCTTGGTCGCTCAGCTTCCTCTGCTCCATCTTCACGCTCCGCAACCTGGGGAGGAGGAAAGAGCAACACAGCTGCACCCCCTCCCCAATTGCAAACCACAGCCGGAGTACCTGCCCACATCCAGGGCAACGGGAAATTGTCCCCACACCCCTGCCGGGGGCTGGGCCACGATTCCCCCCGGGACTGGGGCTCAGCATCCCCCCTCAGCCCTCCCACCCAGCGCACAGCCCCTTACTGGTGAATGGCTTGTAGGAACTTCCTCTGATGCTTCCTGACTTTGGCATGGTCGATCTTCTTCAGCAGCTTGGTGTGCTTATAGATGAGCCATGTTTCCCGCAGGACGTTGGCTGCCGCGTTCTTGATCTGCAAGAGGGAAGTTGGCCGCAGGTCACTGGCCCCAGCTGCGCCAGCGCACAGGATGTGGGATTTCATGGAGACACCGGTCTGGCTCTGCCGTGAGCCGCCGGTTCGTGAGCCGGTGCTGCAAGAGCACTTGACTTGCCCCAGCTGGAGCGAGGCGCTCGGCTCCACGCCCGCACGGTCTCCTGCGCCTTTGCAAGGGATCACGGGCAGCTCGGACAGGAGCAAGGGCAGGCAGAGCTGCCCGCGCCGAGTGGCGGG